AATCCTGAAGACTACCAGTGCCTACTGAAACTACCTACCCGTGAAGTGCCTAGGACAGTCCTATGTACTTCTCGGGTGTGCCTCCTGACTCGTGCCAGCAGTCCAGGAGGCTGCTCTTGCCAATGCCGAAGGCAGGCAGGGGCTGCAGCTGCAGCTCCTGCTCGAGCACGTGAGGAACAGGCTATTCTKGGCCTGTTCCGCATCCCTGTTTACGTGCCTGAGTCTTAGGGGCAGGTCGAAACAATGAGGGCCTGAAGGTCGAAACAATGAGGGCCTGAAAATGGCCCTCCGTTTCAGGCTGAAAACTCTGGGTCTGAAAAGACCCAGAAATAGGCTGAAACAGGGTAGGGCCTGCAGGCCCTCATTTTCCAGCTTTCAGGCTGAAACAACCCGGGCCTGTCAGCCCTAAGTTTTAGGCTTTTAGGCTGAATGTCCGGGACGGGCCCTGCAGGGCCCATGTGGCTACGCAGTATGCCACCCCCCCCCCCCCTTTCAGGCACGACTTAGGCATCTTGGTCGTGGCCCCGCCACACAACCAGATGCTCACTTGATTATGCTAACCCAGTTTTCTTACGCCACGATGTGGGCAAAGATCTCAAAATAGTTTCAGAGTTGGTGATTGATTTGGATCTAGGTGATGCATATCTACTATTTAACCCTTCGAGCGCAGGCTACACTTGGTATTCTGACCAAGTGCCATCATGGCGACTAGGTTTGCCAGGTCTGCTTGATTTTCTCCCTATTGCTAGGGAAATTTTGAGCGAATACCATCAGAGTGTGTAACACACCACCCCCTCTCTTTCACCATGACGCAATAGTATTGCATTTTCTGTGAAGGGAAATCCAGAGAGAAGCAATGGTAACTTTCGGTTGAAAGAATGATTAGGGACCTTTGAGTCCGGATCTGTATCACTAATCACTTTCGAAATTGGCACAAGATATTTGTCCCCCGTGGTCACAACCGCGGGGTTGATCCCGGCCTGCTGTCAAGATCTCAACAGCAGCGGACGGCTGCTGTTGGGTCGCAGCCGTGGGCCTTGCGGGGATTTTTCCCCACAAAATAAATGGGAAATATATATGGGGTTGTAGGGTTCCTCATTCCCTACAACTCCGTACACGTGTTTTTCCAAACGGCTGATTGTTTTGTATTTAGAAAAAGAATTAACTACGGCACAGTCACCAAAGCAATTTGTAATTGCATTTCAAACTGTGTTTTAGCAGTTTAGTCAGGGCCCGAGTTTCAAATGCAGTTGAAACTTGTCCTGACCTTTTTGGCAGTTCAGTCAGGCACATAGCAGGTTCTTCTTTTGTTTCTTCCCCCCCCTTTCCCCTCCAGGCATGGCTTAGACATCTTGGCGGTGGCCCCGCCACACAACCAGATACTTTTCTTTATTTTCCTCCCTCGGGTGTGGCCGTGGCCCCGCCACGCGACGGGGAGGGAGTGGGGGGGGGAGGAAAAAAAACGGAAGCATTAACGGAAAAAAAGGAGAAAAAAAAAAACGGAAAAAAAAAAAATTCACATGCCTGACTGAACTGCTAAAGAAGGTCAGCCGGAGTTTCAACTGAATTTAAAACTCGGGCCCTGACTAAACTGCTAAAACACAGTTTGAAATGCAATTACAAACTGTAACCCTAAAGAAGGTCAGGCAGTTGGCGGTTTTTTATTTTATTTTTATCTTTTTCTCGGTGGCGGGCACCAGAGTTTTCTGTTTTTTTTTTCGGTCGGGTGCATGATGCGTCCAAACAAAAAAACAAAAACAGAAAAAACAAAACTCGCTCCCTGGTCAGGTCACGACCGAGATGTCTCGACCACTACAGAGGTTTAAGGGGGTGGGATGGGGGAGCGGCACGACCGAAAACGTTAGAAAAGAGGAATGAAACAAAAAAGGAAAAACGCAGCGCGCGACAAAAGACAAAACAAAACGGCCACGTGGCTGACTGAACTGCAATTTAAAACTCCGCGGTGCAACTTTTCTGCGAAGCCGAGTTTCAACTGCATAGCGAACTTCCGACGGGACTGGAAACAAAAAACGCAATTTAAATTTTGAAATACATTTAGAAACTGCTTTCGTGATTGCGCCCTACGCCTTCACCCCAATAGAACGCCCGGTCATTATAGCTGCATCTGGACTGGAAGTTGGGCCAAATGCAGCTATAATGACCAGGCGTTCTATTCAGGTGAAGACGGTAGTTACCCCATCAATCAATGAATCAATAAATCAATCGAAGGTGGAAAAAGTGGAAAAGAAAAAGCACAAGTGTGTGTGTGCGTGTCATTCGTACGTTGCTTCTACCTTCCACTCCTACACAATGTCGTTATGCGTTTTCACTCTGTGCCATCGCACCCCACGCTTGGTCGGGAGTCGGGACTGCTCCCCGTATCATCTCCCCCCCGGATTGAAAGTCGAATCCAATGGAATTGCTCATGTCCTCCGGCAAGACACAGACTCTGAGACTTTTAAGGTAAAAAAAAAAAGCCGGATAGAAAAAGATTGAAGCTGATAAGGCTTCCGGGACAGGCATCTCCAGGTACAAGTTGGACGGGGAGGACATACGGACGCGTTCCATCACCATCCATGAAGGTAAAGACAGCAGAACCATCATCAACTCTCAAGCGGAGAAAAGAATCACATCAGAAAAGAGCACGGGTAACCGGTGAGCATGCCAAAAGAATGTATTTATTTGTTTCAACATGACAAGAGCAAGCATCAAAGCAGATCAAGCTCGATCCATTGGGGTCACGCCCAACAATCTGCAGAAGAATAGTAGGACTACGTTCCAAGTCACTCCGCGCTCGTGCCTACTCTACTAGTAGTGGATCGAAAGCTCTATAACCACCGATAACCGAACAACACAGCCAAAGCCTCATGCACGTCCCAATAATAATAATAAAAAATGGGTCCCACATGACTGCGGGAATCAAAGACCACAGTGCCGTCACTCTCTGTAGTACAGTCTGTACAACTTTTCCGCAACATCTCCAGCGCCTCGGCTGTTGGTCATGAGCCTTGCTCCATGTCGTCATCAAAAAATTTAAGACCGTAATCTAGGGGAGGCGATCGCCGTGAATGGTGATCGACCCCAGTTCAACTTGAAGACCCCGACGTCGCTTGCAACAATCCGTATTGCAGAGTCCAAGGAAGCCTACACTAATATGTTCAGTACTTAGTTTGGCCCAACCTGTCGACCTCAAGGTCGCTGGCAACAATGCGTATTGCAGACTCCACCACAACGCAAACTGAAAAGTCTTTCAACTCCTTTCTAGCAATGGTTCACGAAAAGCACGGCTGCATTAAATTTACCCAGCACTCAAACTGCAATGCCTTCCAACTCAGTGCTAGCACGCAGGCTTGCACTGTCCCTGAACGCACTTCTTCCCCTTGCCACATTCACAGTCCTTGCAGCACTTGACGCATGGACCAGTGGGAAGGCAGCGCTTCAGTCCCTTCGGGCAGCACGGGAGCTTGCATTGTCCCTGGACGCACTTCCTCCCCTTGCCACAATCACAGTCCTTACAGCACTTCACGCAGGGGCCGTTGGGGATGCAGCGCTTCTGTCCAGCCGGGCAGCCGCACGAGGGCCTGCATTGTCCCTGGACGCACTTCTTCCCCTTGCCACAGTCACAGTCCTTGCAGCACGTCACGCAGGGACCGTTGGGAACGCAGCGCTTCAGTCCCTTCGGGCAGCACGGGAGCTTGCACTGTCCCTGGACGCATTTCATTCCCTTGCCACAATCACAATCCTTGCAGCATCTCACGCAGGGACCATTGGGAACRCAGCGCTTCARTCCAGCCGGGCARGCGCAGGAAGGCTTGCACTCTCCCTGGACGCACTTCTTCCCCTTGCCGCAATCACAGTCCTTGCAGCACTTCACGCACGGACCCGTGGGAGTGCACCGCTTCGTCCCAGGGGAGCAGGGACAGTTCACACCGGTGGCATGTGCGACGTGGAGGACGCTAGCAAACAGGACCAAGCTCGCAACGGCCAAGGCTGCCGAAAACTGACCCATATTTGCCAAAGTGCTTTGGACTGACAGCACGTCTTCAGATTACCAAATACCGATCCCTGCAGCAACGAGACAACCACAGGGGGGGGGAGAGAGAGAGAGAGAGAGAGAGAGAGAGAGAGAGAGAGAGAGAGAGAGAGAGAGCAGTGCAACAAACAACATGTGGGAAAGTAGGAGGGGAAGATACCCAAGGAGAGAAAAGAAAGAGAAGCACCGGCGCGAAGCCGGAACCATGCAATCAACCACATCCATTCTGCCCATTCATCGCTTTTACTCTGACCGTTTATTCTTCCCCAGAAAGTTCGAGAGCCACAAAAGATAGTCATAGAATTGATGTCATTAATATCATCCACAGCTACTCTTATCATCATACTAACGGAAGTATGAGTGGCATCATCAGCAAGATTGATGAGGGACGCGGGGCAATCGTCACAAAGGTAAACTTTTTGCCGTAGAGCACTCCCTTAGAGGGGTAAGAGCCTCAGGTACGCCACGCCCGGGAGGCTTGACTGTTATAGCCATTTCATCATCACCGTAGCGGTCCGCATCATGGACGAGGATCGAAGAATAAGGGAACAAGAAAGAGGAGTGACAAAAACGATAGCTGAAGAAGAAAGCTTTCCTCGGAAACAATGGACGC